AGGGCACTGCGCCTGCTGAAGGTCCTCCTGGAGGTGGAACAGTGGCCGGCTAGAAAGCAGACAACACTGAAGTTACAAACTGCAGATCTTCACCACCTCTGAAACATGGTTTGCTCAGTGACACAGAAAATATTCACAGTAATAATGCCAACAATATGGACAGTGCAGCATATTGTAACCACTGCAAAAAGTGCCAGTACAGTCTGCATCCATATCTTAATATTAAACTTGCTTAATGTAGGATTTGGCCAAACAGGGTCACATGCATAAACTGTAAAGAGCTCTGAAAATCCAAAGCATGCAAAACCAAAACAAGACACCAGTGTGACTCCACTGAATTAGTACCTGCTGCTTTTGTTAGTAGACCTTAGGACTTGCCCCAAAATAAAGGTTCTACATCAAGTTTTGCTTCACTAAGAAATATCAGAATGTTTATGTCACCCCTTTAGGGTGATCCCACAGTACTGGAACTTACAGCAGAGATGAAGTATTCCTTTAATTCCTACAGGGGCTTTTGCAGATGAAACAGGCAATGGTCTTATTACCAATCTGAGACTGGCATCAGCAGAATGACAAGGTTTTGCTTGTGTGAGTCTTTTAAAGAGGTTTTTGTTTTGTTTTGTTTTTATTTTAAAAATCAGCTGATAACTTTGGTATCTCAGGAAAGCACTGATCAAAATGATGAAGTGAAACTCAGGAATATGAACATGAAGATAAATTCAAGGCATGCCTGGATTACATGCATTCTCATGAATACAAAAAAACCTCTGAAGACCCTGTTTGAGTGTTAAAAGGAACACTACATCAGTAGCCACTTTCAGTGTTATTTCTGTGAAATGAGAAGAGGGGAAAATGACTAAAAGCAGCATTAGTATTTGAGCAAATGCAAAATAAAGGGGGGGGGGGGAAGAGAAAATAAGTTAACATAAATGAGAATGGCCAGCCACATGTACCTGATTAAAATGCTGGCTGACTTCACGTGATAATGAACTCATTGAACTAGAGCGCGAAAGCTACAAAACAGCAAGAACACACAAATACAAAAAAACACAAATAAAAAAATCATCATGCATGTCACTGCCCCAAGCTTCCAGTTGTTCCACTTAATTTTAAAAGTCTCACTGCCACAGGTTAAACCAACTTCAAGTTAAAAAAAATAAATTAAAAAATACGAAAAATAAATGTAAAGGAAGAAGTTAGTTTAAACCAAAAGGACTTCTTAAAGCACAAAATTATGTGGGTATAGAAAACATTTAGTAGGGTCAAGGGACATGTTACTCTGCCTGGCACACAGCAATCTACTCTCCTTGTTGTGTCTGGCACCTAATATTAGTGAAATCATATGCATGCATGGAGGCAAGAAGAGATCCTCAAACTGCTACTGACATTTTACTCTGAAAAAGGCTTGTACAAGTCTACTTAGACAGAAGGAGATGACAATGTAGGAACACAGAGGCTGAACTTCTCGTATGGGCTTAGAGGTCTTTTCTGTACAATTTTGGAGGCAGCCACAGGATTCCACCTTTGCTAGTTATCAGCAACTGCATCAGTTACTGGTTGTTTGAGATAGCCCATGTTAAGTCCACTACAAATCAATGGTTAAAATGCACTGCACAAACTAACTGCTTTGAATCAAGCCTTACCTCTCCTGACTGGGAGCCATCAGGGTTGGAAACGGGAGGACCAGACCCAGGAGGAAGGATGACAGGGTTCAAATACTGAAGAGAAACAACGCACTTTTGTTAATCTCAGATACTCAGATGCTATTTCCCATTTCTGCTATACTGATCCCTCTGAAGCAAAACAACATTACAAGACACCAAGCAGGGTGAGACTTCCTATGCTCTTGGTTCCTTTGGTCACTTTTCACCAGCTTCCCCCTTCCATTTTCACTTGCATTTCCCTTCTCCAGCTCTTTAGGTAAAATTCAAGCAGTTTTGTGTATGACAACAACATGCTTTTTACAAACTGTGGCTCTGAAACTGCTATTCAGAATCACGAGGAGTTTTTAAACTGAAGTTTGAATTCTCTATACAAGACACTGTTTCTAATC